TGTTGATAAATAAAACGCAGATATAATATTCCGTAATACTTTTATTGTGTATAATATTCGATCGTCTACACTACGAACAAGCCGTTATGTTACATACATACAATAGCGCAGCTTAAAGCTCGGGTGGGGCCGCTCAGGGCCGGACTGAGTGCTCACAAAAAATATTAAAAACTTCCAAATACCTGAGAAATTTATAAAATAACCAATACACTATAAAGCCATTTTAATATTAGAGACCAAGAGCCAAACTAAGTTAGTTTAGCTTGCATAGCTGATGCAATTTTCCATAGTTTTATCTAAACTATGCAAATACTATAGAAAACTGCGTTAGCTATGCGAACTAAGCTGAACTAGCTTAGATCTTGGCCTGCAACGGCCATTAAGCTTTATCATAATTAGTAAATAATTTATACTTAAAGCCTTTTCGAGCTTCTAAATGTTAGAGAGACTTGTTTCAGCTTACGTAATATCTGGCATATAAATATTGCCTTTTATATTTTTAAACATCGAATAAACATAATCATCATATTGATAACAACTTAGTACGAATCTGCATTCTAACTTATAAAAAATCGTAACTAAAACTTTAACTCAAGCAACTAAACCAATATCACAACTCGTCACGTTATCAAAATGAAAAAGAAAAATACAGTCGAATTGAAAACCTCCTTTTTGAAATCGGTTAAAAATGCTAGCTGCCATTAAATTGTGTACCCAGTCCGGCCCAAGTCGGGTCAAGAAAAATTCATAATTCATATTTTTCACTTATATTTACGTACAATTCATTAGTTTCAAATTCATTTTAAAATTGTCCAAATTATAACTACGTAGATATAATCTCTATCTAAAATAAATAGAAGAAAAATTACGCTAGTATTAATGAGTGTAAATTTATATCTTTTATGGATAACTGTCGATTTGCCGCAAGGTAAATTCGTCACAGTTTAAGTTCCATACATTGAAAGTAAATTCGTCACAAACACGATGAAGTATAATAACTCCAAAATAAAATTGTGACGAATTTACTCATTCTTTTTTCATGACGAATCGACTTAAACACTACGAAGTATAGAAGTAAATACTCCAAAATCGACTGTGGCAAATAGACAGTGATCCTTTTTAATATTTATTATAAGAAAATTCATTTATCCACATAGTTATAAATTGAGACAAAAATGTTAGTCGGGTTTTTATTATCACTATTTTAATTACAAAAGTTGCATGAAAAAATCAGCTTTTTCATAGTTTTGGCAGAGACAGTCTGTAGTATTTCGAATGTGTAAACCAAATATTTATTTTTATGACAATATTACACAGTTTTGAAGTATTTTCCTTTATTGTGACAATTTTTGTTTGTCTTCACATTAGTTATATACAGTACAGAGAATCAAACAGTTCGTGACACCCAAAGTAGCCAAAAGTTCGCAACAAATTCGTTTTTTGTTTATTGTTTATGGAGAACAAGACATGTATTTGACCGCAATCGCACCTGATGTTAAGTGAGATGCAGTCTAGGATGGTCTTTCATATAACTTTTATTTTATAAATGCAAATATTTGGTTCACACACACATCAATGGTTGTATGAAAAATGGAAGTTCACATTGGCTAGATGACCTAAAAATGTATCTGAATTACAATTTAGCTTTTAATTTAAAAGAGAAGCGAGAAATTTCATTAAGAACTTGTATTTCTTTTTTAACGCACGGTAAGAAATGTATAAAATTCTTTTGTTGACAATGAAGAATCAATATTTCTTATTAAACACGTTAAATCTTACATTTTAACCCTTAAATATGGGGTTTTCATGAATTTGTGTCATTACATATTTCTAAAAAGTGTTTTGAACGTTGTGACAATAAGGTGGGAAATATTTTCCCACTGTATATTTATGGTTGTGTAAATACAAGTACCTGTTATACTTGATCATCAAAACGACATTTTTGTATGAAAATTTCAGTTTTAACGCGAGAACTTTTTATAATAAATTAATTAGTAATTTCATACATTTCCCACCGCGCGTTTAATTTTAAATCTAATACCAAGAGAGATGTCTATCTGAATATTATTGTCCGCATATACATATTTCATTATTTATTAGCGTATTCACGTAAGAAGGTTTTTTTACAAAAGGTGCTAATTTTTTAATACGTTTTTTATATACGTGGTGCTTTTGTCTTTGACTGGGTGTTATTATGAGGGTTTACGTTATTTACCATAAAGGTCAATTTTCCTTGCTCTTTAGGGCATAGCATGTTGAAAATTGTCACTGGTTTTTGACCTTATGGCATAGGAATAAAGTTCAAATTACAGTGGCAACATATGGGACAGAGTTCAAACGATTTTGAACCCTAAATTGTCAAGGTCAAAACCAATTTTGTGGTCGTTTCTTTTATAAATCATTATAGAACCATTCCCACTCTTCCCGTGGATGTCGTAAGAGGCGACTAAGGGACAAATATGCGAACATCAGGCCTCCCCAACCCGTCTGGCCAGCGTGGGGAGTGTAGGACAAATCCTCTTGCCTCTGGTCAATTAGAGAGGCGTGCTCCTGCAGTGGAGACTAAATGACCTGATGAAACGGGACTATTCCCACTTTTCGTTCCCACCGCTGCAACTCCTGTGTAGCCAGGATCTACAGCTTGACCGCCAATAACCCAACCAGTGAAGGTCAAGTTTGTCCCGGAGGAAAGATGAGCTGATGATGATGATCAAGGAAGATTAACTATAGATTTTCGCCTCATAATAACACCAATGTGACCAAAGACATGACAAAACGTTCTAAGTCTATATAGCTATCGGAATACTGCTTACAAAAATATATTAATAAATGCATTTCGTCATATTTCATAGTTATGGCAACTAAACATACTAGTATTGCTTCCAGACTTGGTTTATAATCTCCATAACGTAATATTTTATGAACCCTGAGTGTTTTCAGCCATTTTAAGTTCCATACAGTTGTTATTATAGTTCAAAATTGAATGAATTATTTTTTGAAAGGCATACTTATTATGAAATGAAACTAACACCCGTATTCACACAAGCTTGCTTAAGTGAAGCAGCAACGCTATGAGAAGTCGAACGCACAGCGTTGAATAGAACTCTGTGATAGGTTCGTGTGTCACTCTGTGCGTCCACGCGCACTTTGGGACCTCATAGTAATATTTGTGAATAAGTGTAAATCAAAATCAGTCCATCCAGTCGATAGTAAGATGCTATAACAGACAGAAATACAAATAAATCTTATTATTGTTTTGTATAGTAACATCTGGCATATGAACACTCAGGGTATATCAAAATTCACTATGTAATACATACGCAATTGCTGTGAGCATTTTGTTTCCAAATAATACTTGATATCGGGTATTTGACAAACTAAGCGAATAGAGGGTGTTCCAGAATGGGTAAATCAAACTGCTATGGGTGGAAAAAAATACTGTTAACGGTCGGTAGACGTATTCTCATAAATAAAACACTGGATACTTAACTTTCACATTATATTGGCTTAATTTTTAAATACAATTCATCACTTAGCACAAAAGCGCGGGGAGTCGTCAACGCGCGTCCCCTTAATCTGACGTTTCTATTGTGACATTGACATTACGTCAATGTCACTTTGACAACAGCTCATTGGCTATAACGATACCGTTATTTTAACGTTTTTCACAATTAACAGTACAGAATAAATCTGCAAAAGGCAAGAGCACTTATAACTTGAAGCGCCTACATACTAAAAATATTTTTGATTTTATAACTTCATAATAGCTTTATTATCAAACCCCCGATATCTAGTCGATTTATTCGCGAAACTTCGTCAAAAAATTGATTCTGATTAAAAAGACGTCAATGTTATACACTTGTGAACGCGACTGTACATTCGACAGCACATCAAGCGTACATCAACTAAAGTCTGGTCTGTGAGCACGTAGAATTTTGTCCAATGACCCCAAGCTACCCATCCTTATCGCTCGCGCGTAATTATATTGCTGTCGCGACTGTGCGACGGGCGCCCGCAGTGAGTGTGCGAGCGCGATAGTAACATAATTACGCGCCAGCGATAAGGATGGGTAGCTTGGGGTCATTGGACAAAATTCTACGTGCTCGAAGACCAGACTATAGTTAATATGCTACAGCCCGCGTCAAATAGTTCGTGACACACAAAGTAGCCAAAAAGTTCGCAACACGTCTTTGTTACAATTGGAATAAGGTTGTGTTGTCAAAATTTTAACTTAATGTGCTATCGGTACATTAACCATTCAACCCTAATATTATGGGAGTATTAAGTGACAATATAAAAAATAATACTAAACATTTGTGTGATGGTTATTAAACGTAATTATTAATAATAGAGAGTAAAAAATAATAATAAATAAGACAACGTAACAACTTAACATAGCATGTACACCAGCAAAACTTTTTGAAAAGAAAAACTGAGATTATTTTTATGAGATGCTCATCTTTGCTGACTGTACATGTCATTAATAATAATTATTAATAATTATATTATTTATACATAACAATATTGTGGGATGGCGCAGAGGCATTTTTTGGTATGAATATTTAATACGTATAAATTTTGATTTTGAGATGCACCATAAAGCACAAAAAATTCCACGATACATTGAAAGGATTATTGCTGAACACATTTTGATGCGGTACGATGTTACATTAGAACCTTGGAATGCCCAAAAATTGGGCGTATAATATATTTGTAAGCTAAATACGGTCAATTTTCTTTTAAAAGCACTTTTATGATCCATACTTTGTCATACAACTATTTCTAAGTAGCCATTTTGATTTGCATCGTATATTAAAATGGCCGAACGTGTCAGTATCACAAATCGACATTGCAATAATATTGCCCACGCTATGATGTCAATAAAATCTTATTTGCAAAAGGGGACTATTTCTACCTCTCGTTCCCACCGCTGCAACTCCTGTGTAGCCAGGATCTACAGCTTGAGCGCCAATAACCCAACCAGTGGAGACCAAGTTTGTCCCGGGGGAAAGTTAAACTGTCATTGGACTCGCAACGAAATTAATCAGACTGGGGAGCGTAGGACAAATCCTCTTGCCTCTGGTAAATTAGAAGGTCGTGCAGTGGAGATAAAGTGACCTGATGACTACGTCAAACCACTAAGTAATTATTTAACCATATGTAATGCAAATGATTTGAATTTGATTTAAAGAAAATCACATTTAGTTGACAAATTCGACCATTTTAACTATACTTAAACCCTTACTCAAGACAGCAAGTCCTTAGCGTTCATTTTCGGACCTTAAGCCAAGGGTTAGAAACATATCTAAGTGTAACGATACCGCACCGTCTGTCCATCGCGTCAGCCGCCGGTCTTCTGCTCGAAGAGAGCCGCCATATCACGGATGTGGTAGGATGGGGACACCTTTTCTTTCCTGTGAAGAATATTTGCGTATTTAAAACAACTACAAAGTTAAAAACATAACCCTCCTGGTGCAGTCGGGTAATGGTCAATCCAATACCACCAATAGAGTGCATGTTTGTCACAGATATGTGTCAAGATGTTGGCAAAGATGCACAAAAATGTATGCATTTATGTGACTATAGCCAGGCCTGTTCATCTCCGCGAGTTTACATCGAAAACAAAACACGCACGATGGCCCACCTACAGGATACTATTCAATAAGGCCTCAGATACGAGCGAACATTGACTCACGCACGCGTATTCTTGTGTATGATGGAAGAAAATAAAGAAAATGGTGTACTAAATACTGTGCAGTATTTAACTGCCTAAATAATAATAAAAACACAGAATGTACTTTTTTAAGTTGCTTCAAGACACTGAGAGGTAAATAAGTAGTTAATATTATTCATGATAATTCATGCTAAATCATGTATTTCCTCCGCCATTTTCCGCTGTTTGGCACCTCACGTCACATTATTTTACCGCAGTCAGCCATATAGCTTCGGCGCAGTGCCGATCACTGACGTTTGTTAACAAAATGGTGCTTGACTCTTGAGACAAGCTAAATTACACCATATTGTTAATGACATTGAGCATATTTTTTTTTAAATACCTTCGCGAAGTAAAACTTCTGTACGTAGTACTTATTTATTATTCTGTGCTATAGCTAACAATACCATCGACAGAATGAATTATGTTTGTCACAATGTGCCAAGATATTTGCAAAAAAAGCTACATATAATGTTTATGCATTTTTGTGACAAAACTTTGTGAGGTCATTTGCAAATATTTAACTTTGTACAAATTGGAGTTTGTCATTCGTATGTCGTTTGGCGTATATTTTAATGGACACAAACGATATTTAGAAGACTCCCGATTTTTTTTACAAAGATTTGGTGAACTAGTTTTATAACTTTTCTTAACTAACATTTTCAATGTATCGCTGTTGGTTTCTATAAATAAATAAATAAACTTTAAGATTATAACTTTCCAAAACATTTGTACACATCCTGACACATGTCTGTCATCGACATTACTTCAATGTTCTGTGCTGTCAGATTTTTGACAAAGCGTGACTAAAATTTGAAAAGAATTGAACCTAAATTGAGTTAAAATTGTCAGTTTACAACATAATTATGTACAATACTATAAAATACAAATTATAATACACTAGGCGCATGCGTAAATAAGATAATGACAAAATACGGAATGCAAATGAAACGAAAATAATTTCAATTTTGCTATCAAAGTTAAGATTTTCAAATTCTTTGAATCAGTGGAATATATGAAAAATATAAAACATTTAAACATTAGAGACGTAGCCAAATAAGAGGTTAATTTCAAACCATGCAGACAAAAACAAAAATGTAATAAAAAAACATCTCACCTGTCAAACTCCCTGCGCGCTGCGCTCTCTCTCTCTCTTTTACTGCTTTCTCCCTCTCGCCTCTCTATGCTATCGGGACTAGTGGGCGAATTGATTGTGTCTAGATTATTAGTACTTCTAGCCAAAGAGAACCTCATCCTCTGACCTAGATCTACTGTATTTCTCCTCTCAAATTTAGGCAATTCTTCTTTTAATCGTTCACAAGACTCAATTTTGTCCATATCCTTCTTTATTTTTATCCTAGTTAGTTGCTCTGGGCTGCTTCTAAAAGACTGCGAGCTGTATTTCTCTCTTAAAAAGTTTCTCCTCTCTTCTTTATACTTTTCTATACGTTCTCTGCTCAATTTCTTGTCCGAATCGAAGTTTATTAAGTTTTTCAGTTCCGTAGGCCGTTTCTCGTTGAACCGTTGGACTAAAGATATTTTGTTCTCGGTGGTAGGAGTGACCGGTTCGATTTTGGTGTTCTCCTCCATATTTAGATTAAGATCGGGTAAGAACTTCGGCGATTTCTTCGCGTCTCTGACTTCGAGACTTTTTCTTCTGTCGACATAAGACTTTTCGTTGCCGAATTCTTTTACGAACGCGTTTTCGTCCAACGACCGTGCGTTGCAAGAGTTTTTGTTCAATTTATAAGTTTTCGGCGACACTGGAGGCGGCAATTTGACTGTTAAATCTTTTTTTCTAACTTCCACGTTAATTTTCTTATCTTCCTCCTTCCTTTCTAAGCTTGGATACTTGATTTCTGCTTTGAACTTCTCGAAAGTGAAGGGCCCTTTCTGTTCAGTCGGGCTTTCGAATCTGTTAGCCAACTCTCTAACGTTTAAATTGGAAACTTTGATTATATTGCCATTGTCTTTTTCTTCCTCTTTGATACCATTGTCGATTTCCACGAGACCCTTATCACAGATTTTTAAAGTATCAACATTAATGTTCTCGTATTCCTTTTCAACACTGCCACTGAAAGATACATTCTCATAATGTCGTTTCTCTTCCGGGAATTCGAACATAATAGCGTTTTCTTCGGCCTCCTTCTCAGGGGACTCAAAGATCAGAGCGTTTACTTCTTCTATGCTCTTTTTGAAGAACTTAACTTGGCTGTAGACATCGTTTTGGTCAGTAGGTGTTTCAAGGATAATCAGATCTTTGAAGTCAGGCTGACACGCTTGTTGTGTGGGAAGACTTGCGTCCGTTTCTGGAACTGTCGCCTCTTCGACTATAGACAGATTCTTTTCCAAATCTATGTCTTCGTACACAGAGTCCCTATCGTTTGTTGGGGTATCTATATTGTCTATGGGTTCGTAATCCGGCGTTTTGGATTTCGTCGGCGATCGGAAGGTTATGCTTATTGTAGATTTTAACGGACTTTTTAACGGCGAACCAGGTGAGCTTTTAGACGTGCTAGACGACTGCAAATTTATATAATTTGGTCGCGTGAAATTGAAGGTTTCATAGTCCTCCTGTTTCAAGCTCGCATTGGAATAACTGGACGAGCTCTCATGCGATGACGTCATCACCTTCATGACGTCACAGTTTTCGTAGCTCGCGTCTTTTTTAGACGGTTCAGAGTTGGACGACGTCGACACAGCGGACAGACGATTTAAGTTCTGGTAGCTGATATCGGTGGAATGTAGTGGACTGTGTTCGGAGCTATAATCTGTGGCTTTGAGCTCGCATTTGAGGCATTTCTCTCGATCACAATTGTCGCATTCTTTGCTCTCTATTTTGATTGTATGTTTATTCGTTTCGCTGACTTCAGAGTCGCTTTCCAACGGGTCGTATAAAGGTGTTAAGGGCGTAGCAGGACTAGAATTCAAAGTGCTAGCAGTGAGGTTGGTAGACGAGGAGTCTGGAGGCCAGTCCACCTTGATGAGGGTGGAATGGTCTTTGCCGGGCCAGCTCAGACGCGGCGGTAACGCTAAAGGTTGGTGGAGGCCGCTGTAGCGGGCCGAGGGCGGGGCCTTTCGGGGGGAGGCCCGCTCTCTGTGGGGAGAGGGGAGGGATTTAGACGGTTGTATTGCTTTTTGAATTTGGACGTTATTGATATGGTTATAGGTTTCATTATTGAATGTAACACAGTTTTAGATGAGAATCTATTATTGAATAGAAGAAAAAGTGTATTGTTCTTTTTTATTTAGACCTTTTTGTTCCAATTTTTATGGTAATAGGTTTCATTATTGAACGTTATACACAGTTAAAAAAAAGTGTATTGTTTTTTTATTTAGACCTTTTTAATTCAAAAACTCATGAAACTTATTTATTTTTGCAAATAGGCTTTTAAAAAGCACTTTTACACGTCCCAGTATTAACCCTACCACTGCTTCGGGAGAATACATGGGCCAGTGCTGAGAAGAAGCAGCGCAAGAAACTTAGTCACTATTACTACTTAACTCAGTTCTATAGACTCCATTATTATTATTGTTTAAAGAGAGACTTTCTCCATTATTTAAAGTTTTGAATTAATTTTGACAATATGCATTGATAAACATAAGCCTATTATTGTTTTGAATTGATTTTTAACCTACTACAAAGGCATAAATTACAAATTTTAATTTTATCACGATTCGACTTGCTTATGAATATGATTTTACTTGTTAATTTCAAAATTATACTTGCTTCTAAAATATTAAAATTCTAGTCTATAATAATGAAACTAAATTGTATTATTATCTAGCAAACTTTATGATAAATCTATTTAATTGTTACTTTTAATCGATCGACAACCTAATTTTCAATGCGATCTATTCAAGAGTAAAAACAATACAAATATCTACAATCCTGTCAGAAACATACTATAGCATTACATTTTAAAAATTTAAAAGGGTTTAAGTAACCACCTCACAAATATTTCATGAGTTCCACAACAAAAAATATTAATTTTTCATATATTTTTCACTTAGATTTTCAACATTTTCTGTCATAATACAATATGATGGGACAGAAATATCTACGCAGGCAAAACCATGGTCTAGAAAATTTAGTAATTAGTACATGTAGCGACACAGAACGTTAGAAAACGACATCGATTTTTTAACAGAAACATTTATGAAGTGGTTATTGGAGAAAAACTCTTGTTACAAACATCGAATGATAACTCACTATACAATATTATTTCAAGCTGAATGGGAGTGTGTTGAGACGAAGTCAAGTTTTGAGTCTCTTCTTAAATTTTTCCATGATACGAGAAGAAATGTCCTTTATGGCCTGCCTTTTTTTGCAAATGTATTTTTTGACGACCACAAGTACCAAATCTGGGTCAAAAATGTAATCTATACTAATATTATAAAGAGGTAAAGTTTGTGTGTGTATATTTGTTAAATTGTAAGGGGTAATCTCGGGATCTACTGAAGCGATTTTAAAAATTATTTCACCAATAGAAAGCCACATTATTGCTGAGTGTCATATGTTATATAAAAAACTGAAAAATTCCACGGGGACAAGCCGCGGGTGGAAAGCTAGTCTTTACTAATATTATAAAGCTGAAGAGTTTGTTTGCTTGAACTCTCTAATCTCAGGAACTACTGGTCCGATTTGAAAAAAACTTTTTATGTTAGATAGTCATATAGCCAATAAGGGCGGAGCAGTAAAGAAAAAAAACATACACTCGAATTGAGAACCTCCTTTTCTTTTAAGTCGGTTAAAAATGATGCAATGGGGATGTTGCCTGGGTCAAAAAGCAAGAGTTTTAATTAGTCCGTCAGTTAACTAATCAAAAAATACTCTACACGTATTTTTCACTTTTTCAAACTAATGAAAATTTAAAGAGATAAAGCGCCCCAAAGTTCATAAGAAGAGGCCCGTGACGTCAACGCTTGCTTAAAAATGCCGCACGTTGTGACGTCGTGCGCAACTTCAACGCATCATTACTATGTAATTATTTGTTAGATTGACAAATAAAAATATATGTGTCCAATATTTTTTGATATTAAACATTACGGACTAAAAAAATTTTTTTAGGCAACTAGCCTATAACCTTCCTTCTGGCGCAGTCGGGTAAAAACGGGAAATATTATTCAAGCTATTTTCACGCGTACGAAGTCGCGGGCACAGCTAGTATACAATACGACTTTACTAAGTCTTAAAACACTCCCATTCAATATTAAACGAGTGACAAATAAACAATGTTAATATTCACCTCATTTTCACGTTTCCCAGTGATGTTTGCGTGTCGGCGAGCGGTGGAGTCGCGTTGTCGCGGTCTTTGCATATCCTGGGGTGAATAAATAAATGAATTAGCTAAAATAAAAGTAAAATATGGTCTTAGCATTGTTTCTAAAAATATTTTTGAACGAAACTCCCATAAAAATAATACTGGGAGTGGGGTATTTTGATAATTGAGGGGGTATGGAATAACTGAGGGGTTGTAGGATATTTTGATAATTGTGAAGTGGCGATGTGTCTTGATATCTTTTTTTTTATGCATAACTAGGCAGATATTTGACCACAGTATCTGAGGAGTACGGTATTTTGTTAACTGAGGGGTATTGGGATATCTCTATAAATAAGGGGTAATAAGTATCTCGATAAATCAAATCAAATCATTTATCCGAAGGGTAGTGGGATATCTTGGTAACTAAGGTGAAGTGGTACAGTAAGTACGGTAGGAGTAAGGTAATGATGAATGAGGGATAATGGGGTATATTGATAACTGATGGGTGTGGGGTATCTTGATAACCGAGTGTTACAAAAAAGTTTTAGTATCTATGGGGCAATTGATAGTGTGGGCGCTAGGGGGCCCCACTAATATAGGGGGACGCCAAGGGCGAATACTAGTTACTGGGGGGCGCTCACTGGTATTTGGGGGGTGCCAGGGGCACTCACAGATATTTGGGGGCGCACAGACCACAGATACTAGCCCCCTTACTAATAAAAAGTTACACAATTGTTGAACATGTTTTAAAGTGACATTTCCATACCAAACGTCACTTTAAAACACTGTTCAACGAGCGTGTAAGTTTTATTAGTAAGGGGGTAGAAGTGTATTCTCACCGTTTTCGTTCTGCCCGCGGGGGCGGCGGGGGCGCACGCTCGCGGCGACTCCAGGTCGATGTAGCCGATTTCTAACTGACCCTAGTATCTATGAGATGGCTGTGAGGAGAGATATAGAGCCCTAGTGTCTAAGGAGCCGTAACCAAGAGGGGTTACATGGCCGCTGGTGTCTATGGGACGACAGGGGGCGCTCACTAATCCTTGTTCACTCACTAGTACCTGGGTGCGCCCACTAACATCTGTAGGGCGCTAGAGGCCCGCTGAGTAGTATCTAGGGGACGACAGGGCGCGTTCACTAGTATCTATAGGGCGCCAGAGCTCTCACTAGTGTCTGGGGAGTAGCAGAGGCCGTTCGCTTGCATCTGAGGAGCACCAGGAGGCGCTCGCTAGCATCTGAGGAACACCAGAGGCCGCTCGCTAGTATCTGTGGGGTTGGCTAGTATCTGGGAGACGTTCACTATTATCTGAGGGGCGTTCAGTAATATCTGAGGAGCACCAGGGGCGCCCAGTGGCACTTGTGGGGCGCTCACTAATCCTTGCTCGCTCATTAGTATCTGTGGGGTTGGCTAGTATCTGGGAGACGTTCACTATTATCTGAGGGGCGTTCAGTAGTATCTGAGGAGCACCAGGGGCGCCCAGTGGCATTTGTGGGACACCCAAGAGCATCTGTGGGGCGCATCTAGCATCTGTATCCTTACCGTTTCCTCTCGGCCCGCGGGGGCGGCGGGGAAGGCGGCGAAGGGGGGCGGGGAGCTCGTTTCTCCGCGGCGGGAGCGCGCGCTCGTGGAGACTCCAGGTCGATATAGCCTATTTCGGATAACTGCTCCTCGAGGAGGCTGCGCTTTCTGGAACAACAAGTACATAAACTATTCAAATAATCATATTAATGAATTGTGCATAAAATACACTGGTCATCACAAAAATCGGCCCACCTATGTTTTACGGGAAAACTCGTTTCTACTGACAAAATCATGGTGCCCCAACAATATTGGTGTTATTTGAAAGCCCAATAAATATCCTTAAAGAAAAACACATTTAATTTCCTAATAAACGATTAACATATACAATAAATGTGACTTGAAAAACTTGAAAAAACACCTCACTTTGGGCTCACCTCTGGGATCAATTAGACCAATTTTTATGGTTATAAAACCAAATAATGATTTCACGTGTCCTCTTTAACAGATGGATAGCGATTAATCCCAACTTAACAGTTTTATAGCCATAAAAGTTGGCTCAAGCGTAACTACCTATTTTTTGAAGAAGTGACTCTGAATTCTTCTACAGACACATTTTTGGGTAAAAACCTTTCCTTTAATGAAATGAAGTTTAGAACTAGGCTTTTAAATATTAATATAGTATAGTAATATTGGTGAGAAGTGGGGATGCATACGTTTGAAAGTGCTTGTCGCGGGTGGGTCGATTTTTTTGATGACCAGTGTAGATGCATTGATTTTGTTCTAAGCCCGACTGACTAGTTACCACATACAACTCTGTCATGTGTGAAACTTATAGTGTGTTTGGGATAGGGCTAGCGATAACTTAAGGCGATGTTATTATGTCAATTTTATCGACAAAAATGCCCCCATATTATTATGTGGGCCTACCCCCTCCTCTAGGAATGGGGGAGGGCTTAGTTTTTTAAATTTATTTTTTATGTGACTACACAAAAATGTTATTTATTTCTTATGTGCCCGTCTTACAGAATCTTGTAATAATTACCTTTTGTTGGAATTAAATCCGATTCCAATGACGGTTTTCGCGTATGAAACATCCGCTAGATGGCGGGACGTGGATGTGGGGTCTGACTGCTGCGTGATTGGTGGATTTTGACATTTCTGTCAATGTCATGTCAAAAATAACCAATCATGCAGCATTTGGACCTCGCAAAATCAAAATCAAAATCAAAATTATCTTTATTTGTTTAGACTAATTAAATTAGTTCTTGCAAATCGTCAAATGCTCTTAAGGAGCCTATACATGTCTCATTCTTTTTTTGCCCTACCAGCGCTTCGAGACAAACATTTGGCAAGTGCTGAGAAGAAGCGCCGCAACAAACTCAGTCACCACTGTCTGCCGGTTTAAAAATATAAAAAATATAAAAAAGTAGGAAGTTACATACATTCAGAAGCAAGTTACTTACCACGCGCTCCCGTTGATAGAAGGTGGCCTTTAAGACGCCCATCTAGCACGAGACCTCGTGGCAGTTTTGAATATATTTCTTTAGTGCCGTGCTAATTTCTAGGTTAATTGTTGCGTTTTGATACATATATTTTATGTCAGGTATATCTTTCCTTGACCAGTCCCCGAAGGCAGCGCCTGTTCACAGACATGACGTGTGAACCAGCCATCGCTTCACTCGACCATATTGTAGGGAATGTAACGACCCGCCTCACACGCCACTACCCCACGCGTCGCGTCTACGTATTGCCATCTGGCGGATTTTTCATTCGCGAAAACCCTCATTCTATCTAATCAGAGAGCCACGCCTCAGTGGAGACTAAATGACCTGATGATAGTACTGACCTGGAGTCAGTGTTGTGGAGTCGCTGCGGGCTGGGCGACGCGCTACACACGAGCGAAGACGGCGGTGTGGACGCCGCGGAATCGCCGTCCTGTGACAAATTAATAAATAAGTAAAACCAAACATTTGTGTGTGATCTTTGCTTGCTTCTAAAATGGTCCAATCATTGAAGTAGAAGTGGAAGTGGCAATGTCTGAAGTAAAACTGGTATAGTCTCTGTAATAGTACCATCCTAGACTACATCTCACTTAACACCAAGTGCGATTGCGGTCAAATACCTGCCTTGTTATGCATAAAAAATGTGGAAGTTTCTAAAATAGTAGAAGTGAAAATTTCTGGAGAAAAGTCTTCCACTTGTTAGTCTTTGACGCAAAAGTGGTAGTATTTGGAGTGGAAGTCTTTGAAGTAGAAGTAATAGTCTCTGAAATAGTAGTCGAAGTGATAATCTATGAAGTAAAAATGAAAGTGGTAGTCTCTGCAGTAGAAATGGTAGTATCTGAAGTAGAAGTGGTGGTCTCTAAAGTGGAAGTAAAAGTGATAGGTTCTGACATAGAAGTGGTAGTTTTTGAAGTAGAAGTGAAAATAGTATTCTCTCTTATAGAAGTAATATACTCTCTGAATTTGTTCTAAAAGTGGCTCTAAAGTAGAATTAGAAATTTCTTAAAAGAAGTCCTCCAGTTATTAGTTTTTGAAGTGGAATTGATAGGTTTTGAAGTAGTTGGATGAAAGTCTTTAAAGTAAAAGTGGAATTGGACATTTCTGAAGTAGAAGTCTTCCATGTATCGTGTCTTGATAAATGCTGAGTGGGCGCCTTTTTAGCACCAAAATAAACTTCTTTGTATAGTTTTTTTCTTTGTTCATTTGTATTTTCGTGTCAAATAAAGTTTTTCTATTTCTATTTCTTCCTTTACCTGAGCTCGCTGCTGAGGGTCGTCTTCCTCGCTGAACATGTGCAGGTCCCGCTCTTGAGGCGACAGGCGGAGCCTCATGCCGGCCAGCTCCGCTTGCCACGGCTCGAAGTACGAGTCGCACGATGATGACCTGTGGATAAGAGACGATTTAGTTTTTTCCGGCGTTTCTTCTCAACACTTACGTATCATATTATGTTTGTCTCGAAGCGCTGGTAGGGCACATGTAAAGTGTTTCTTAACGGCTTATTGTTATCTTTGACGTTCATAAGTGCCAAAATACTGGTCAAAGTTGAATAAAATGTTTTTGATTTTGTTAATTGGATACTTAAGTGTGGCACTGTGTAGAGCGACATTAGGCCGCACACATCATTAGCGCAAGAAACCCCGTCCCAGTTCGACAAGCATTCGTATAATGTATGTAGGTGGTTTCTAGTTGTGTATGTTGATGTGTTGTCTTCGCTGTCGCAGTGGGATGTCCTGTGATGACTGTGTAGTGTTGTTGTCGTTGTAAATAAATAAATAAAAATTGCAATTTCAAAACGACTATAGATAGTGGTGATATCCACGGCGCGGAACCGATAAATGTTTTGAATAACCAATCAGATTTTATTATTTCCACCTGTGTTTTCCTTTCATAGACAGCAATATCTATTTCTATAGTTTATATAGTGTACAAGAATATCTATATATATAAAAGAAAGTCGTGTTAGTTACTTCGCTTATAACTTAAGAACGGCTGAACCGATTTAGCTGAAAATTGTCAGGGAGGTAGTTTAGAGCCAGGAGAAGGACATAGGATACTTTTTATCCCGTTCGAAATTAAAAAAAAGTCTGCTTATTTATTGCCATTAAGGCGGAACAAAGTTCGCCGGGTCAGCTAGTTTGCAATATAAATAAATTGTAATGTTATAATAATGTATAGTGTATACGCCTGAAAAGGTAGAACTAAGAGATGCCTGTAACCTATTTATAAGAACCCTTGTAACCTTTGTTCATACACAATAAAGACTTTATTACTTTACTTTAAAAAAATATACTGACAGCTGTTAGCCATGCACAGCTCACACATCTCTCGAGTCCGCTTTTTCGATTTGGTGGAACTAGTCTGCCAGTTTCACCGCACGTCTCTTCTCGTCTCCGCTCCGCTCCGCCTTGGTGGAAACCGGGCCATGGCTGTTACGAACTAATTGACGCTGGCTGTATGAGTACTTGAGTATTAGAGGTGATGACGAGCAATGAGCATATTACCTTGTATGTTGTTTGAGCGGCGCGGGCGGACGCACAGCGGCGCTAAGGTGTCGGTGTCAGATGTGAGCGACTCGCACGACTTCACTGGACGTAGACCGTTCATCACCAGTCTGCGGTGATGATGATGATGTTACCTTGTATGTTGCTTGAGTGGCGCAGGCGGACGCACAGCGGCGCTAAGGTGTCGGTGTCAGATGTGAGCGACTCGCACGACTTCACTGGACGTAGACCGTTCATCACCAGTCTGCGGTGATGATGATGATGTTACCTTGTATGTTGCTTGAGCGGCGCAGGCGGACGCACAGCAAGCGGTGCTAAGGTGTCGGTGTCAGATGTCAGCGATTCGCACGACTTTACTGGACGTAGACCGTTCACTGCTAGCGCTGTGGGCTCCTGGAACAAGTATTACAATATTAAAACATGTATTGAAACACAGGCATTACTATAAGTCGACCCTTCTGATCGCGTGAAGGCCAAATCCTCTATTAGCCTCTGGTGAATTACAGAGGGTCGGCCTTCGGTCGGTCTTACTACAGTATTATCTAACACGTCACTTAATAAATAACTCAATGAATTCTGTATTGATTCTCAAGCAACTAAAAATCTAACTTAACAGTATTAAGTAAATAGTGACGGAGATAAATTTTATTTTATTTTATTGGAAAACACAACAGATTACATCATTCGGTTAGATTAATATTAAAGGACAATGACCAAAAATGTATGGAGTGTGGTCCAAATGTCCACCACTAACGAGACCTATGTAGTAAAATAGTCAACTAAATACTGATTCATTATAACCAAACCGCAATCAAAAATATGCTGTCAGTAAAAAGTTATGACTGAATGAAAAGTCATGTTTTTTACCTTTTCATCTGAAAAATGTTCTTGATATCATTCTATCCATCGCACATTTTGGATTAATCTATGCATGTTATGTCATGTCGCTTAGTGTGCCGTGTTAGATTCTCGCTAAAAGAAAAAAAAATAAACTCAGAAGAAAGACAACAATATTGGCATTATGGTCGGGAGGTCGCTGCTCCGCCCCTATTGGTTGTAGGGTGATGTTATATAACCTAAAACCATCCTTGATAAATGGGCTATCCATAACAAAAAGAATTTTTCAAATCGGACCAGTAGTTCCTGAGATTAGCGCGTAAACTACTACAATTTTTCAGACAGTCATAACTTTTTACTGACAGCTTATTTTTTTTTCGTCCCATACTGAAAGTTAATCTCTATTTAATTTAATGGACTATAAGCCAATATAGGTCTCATTAGTGGTGGACATTTGGACCACTTTTGGTCATTGTCCTTTACAATAGTGTTAAGCAAGATAGTTAACCTATAACGTGTTTCCACGGCATGCAAATGAGTTTTATGAGTTTTAAGCCTGTAAATGGTTAGAATTATTTTTTATGAAAAAAAAAGAATTCTTATATATTTTATGACGTCTTTACCTGTGTGGTAGCGGGTGGTGTGACCGGTGGAAGCGGTGCGTGCACGGTGGGCCGCTGTTTGCTGCGAGAGAACAGTCCCCGCCAGCCCGAAGGAGACCTTTTGACGCCGCGTTTGCCTGAAGGATGGAGAAATATTTGCATTCTGATTCTACTACTTCCACTTCTACTTCAATGACTACAACTTTCCCTTCTAGTCAATGACTACTGTGCCGGTATGCACAATACTTAATCTCTTCATATCTTATCTTGATCACGTTCACAGTGTCAGCACATTTATCACGTATAGTGCTGATGCTGTGACGTCATTTACCTTTAATCTATATCGTATAAATAGTTACGCAGTTCGCGTTAATAAACAGATTAATATCAGAGACTAACTACAACTGTTGTATCATTCATACGGTCCCCCAACATGGCACAACTACCACTTCAACTTCTACACAGGACCGCAAAGAATCAGAAGCTTGAATTAATTTTGTCTTCATTTCATAAAGCTAGATCAGGTGCTTTTGAAGATATTAAAGAATTTCTATCCAACCCCGTTTCTTTGTGGTTTAGTGTACTTCTAATACTCTGTCTGGCATTAGGGTTGTATGTGTATTGCAGACAATTTGTTTCGACGAGAGTATTATACAAATGTTTAGTCTTTGAAGTAGAAGTGGTAGTCTCTGAAATGGAAGTCGTTAATAGTATTTGAAGTGGAAGTGATAGTCTCTAATGTAATTATAATACGTGTTATTTTTAAAAACAATGTGTAGATAACGAAAAATATTCAAATAAAATGATTTGATTTGATGAAAGTAAAACTCACCCGGTATAGGTAGGTCAAGCACCGTGTGGTATTGAGGTAGATTGTTGGGGCCTGACCCGACCTGGGAACAAAATAACTAATTATAATTTGGTGTCAAGTATCCTTTTTCTAAGTCGAACCTTTACTTCAAACTCCTCCTATGTTCTTCTGATTAATTTCGTTGCGGGTCCAATTACAGAACTTTCCCCCGGGACAAACTTGACCTTCACTAGTTGTGTTACTGGCGGTCAAGCTGTAGATCCTGGCTACACAGGAGTTGCAGCGGTGGGAACGAGAGGTGGATCCTTTTTCTAAGGGAAAATATCATTCTTAAGTTGCAATGGCAAAGCTTGCCGCGTGGTTCTGGCAGAGTATAATAAGACCACACCCACTCTTCCCGTGGATGTCGTAAGAGACGACTAAGGGACAAACACGCGAACATCAGGCCTCCCCAACCCGTCTGGCCAGCGTGGGGAGTGTAGGACAAATCCTCTTGCCTCTGGTCAATTAGAGAGGGTCGTGCTCCTGCAGTGGAGACTAAATGACCTGATGATGATGACAATGATAACCAACCTCGATGTATTTAGGGCGTAGATGCGACGAGGGCCGTAATTGAGTTCAGCGACGCCGCCGGAATAGCAGGCTATTAAAATACCACGCCGCCGGAATTCAAACCGCCAGAATACCGCCGGAATTCCAAGTCGCCGTAATACTACGCTGCCAAAATTCACACCGCCGGAATACCACGCCACTTCGCCTCTTATAGGCTACAAGTAAGTGAGACTGCAATGTTAGACACTGGGCTTAGTGTGAGTTTACATCCAACGTCTTTACTAGTGACTGCGTAAAAAAATAACATTAAATGTATGACGGATTGTACAGCGAATCTAGCGGATACTTTCAAGAACTAAAATCTTGATAGATTTTTTTGACGCGCTCGCTAGTGACGATATTTGATGTAAACTCACACTAAGCCCTCTGAACACTACTACACTAGACTTACAAACTTGGCCTTCATTGGTTGGGTTATTGGCGGTCAAGCTGTAGATCCTGGCTACACAGGAGTTGCAGCGGTGGGAACGAAAAGTAGGAATAGTGCCGTTACTAAAGTCCGGTCACCGAGCATATAGAATTTCGTTCAATGACCCCAAGCTACCCATCCTTGTCGCTCGCGCGTAATTATATTGCTGTCGCGACTGTGCGACGGGCGCCCGCAGTGAGTGTACGAGCGCGACAGTAACTACGCGCGAGCGATAAGGATGGGTAGCTTGGGGTCATTGGACGAAATTCTACGTGCTCGGCGACCGGACTATACACTTACTTCTATGTATTTGGGGCGTAAATGCGACGAAGGCCGTAACTGAGTGTGCGCCGCGGCTGCGATGGCGCCGGAAGCCGGCGGCAGCTGCGGCGACTGGAGAGACGCCGCCGGGTTGCCACGCCGGCGCGCCTCTTCAAGACTGCAAGCAATTACATTAAAGTTACATCATCCTCATCCTTAGCGATTTCCCGCCTTTTCAACCGACTTCAAAAAAGGAGGAGGTTATCAATTCGACCCGTATGTTTTTTTTTTTTTTCTATGTTTGTTACGCGATAACTCCGCCAATTATGAACCGATTTGAACAAATCTTTTTTCAGCGTATAGGTAATACCTCAAGGGTGGTCCCATTTAAATTTAATAATAGAAAAAACAACCCCCAAGGGTGGAAAATTGGGGATGAACTTTTTTATACGCAATATCTCCACCGATTATAAATCAATTTGAACGATTATTTTTTTGTTGAATAGGTATTATCAAAAGGGTGGTTTCATGCGAATTTGAAGAAAATATTTCACCCCCAAGTGTGGAAAATTGGGGTTGAACTTTTTTATACGCAATATTTTTAATTTTTAGTTTTTTTGTGTTCACGCATTTGAAGTCGGTTTTATTTTTTTTAAAAGTTATGTATTTATCTGTGCACTAATATTACTATTTATGTATGTTTAGAAAATATTATGCAGCTTACGATTTTATTTATTTTACCAATGGTCCGTGACCCTCACTGGGCATGGGGCACACTGAAAACCAGCGCCGTGTCCTTCTTCACCGTGGGCCACGGCATATGCTGAGTGGGGTCCCGTTGCAGTGGGCATCTTGTTGGTGAATGGGTGGCACTGCTCAGTTTACTCTTGTTTTTATTTTTTCTTCTTCCATTATTATGTGCCACTGTCATGTCTATGTAATTGCCTGTATTTGTGTGATGTCCATTGTAATAAATGTATCTTTCTTTCTTTCTTTCTTTCTAAAGCATCTTTTTGAAATGAGAACAATTTTGCAACAACTTTATACTTTACTGATTAATTTCGTTGCGGGTTCAATGTTAACTTTTCCTCGAGACAAACTTGACCTTCACTGGTGGTTGGGTTTTTATTGATAGTCAAGCTGTAGATCCTGGCTACACAGGAGTTGCAGTGGTGGGAACGAGAGGTGGGAATAGTCCCGAACTTTATACTTGTCATTTTATGTTTAACATTAATTATGTCCGATTTTTTTGTCACCGAACGCATGTGTTTTATTTACATTTGTCTCTCAAAAACCTTACATGTAAGGTTCAAAATACATTGGCGACTATAGGTCTAGCGCATATACAGGGTGGAATTTTGTAATGCCACCTGGAGGGAAAGTACTCTTAATACTGTAGATAGAAAATTTTACTGAAAGAAAACATTCCTTTATTTTTGAAAAGAAAGAAAACTGCATTCAAAGATTTTCGTTTTTTTTATAAAATTCACTATTACCATACAATTTTCTGTACATAATTAAAATAACTTAAGATTTCATGGCTTTCCTTTCATTTGATTTATCAAGTTTGTTAGAGAGATTTCATCCTTATACTTAACCCTAACGATCGATGTAATAAAAATACAGGGTGTAATTTTAACAGATTTTAGTTGGTTTGATTCCCGGGTGTGCCAAGCAAATTTTTGGAAAAATTTCAATGCAGATCTATTTCTTTTCAAAAATAAAGGAATGTTTTCTTTGAGAATTTTTTTCTATCTACAATATTAAGAGTACTTTCCCTCCAGGTGGCATTACAAAATTCCACCCTGTATATATCAGTGCCTGAGACATAAGAGCGGCACGGGAGGGGTGACACATAACAGGTCTGAAGTCTCGCTGACGTTTGACGGTACAAAAATAGTGATGTACAAGACTCGAGGCGTCGAGTCCTATTTTTGAAGCCTCGAGGCGGAATGCCAAGACTCAGTGAGCTCAGTAGGCTCGGTGCCCCGAGCTTAGCCGAGCTGCGAGCTCTCTGAGCCATGCCTCGAGGCATTAAAAGAGCTCGAGCCTTCAAAAGAGCTCAAACAAATAAAAAAACATCACCTATGTTGATTTTAATTATGAGATTTTTAAAATTGACCTATATTTTATTTTGTTAGGAAAAGTTATAATTCTAATAAAATTGTTTGTAGTCATTATTTGATTTGTGTCATTTTGTGAAAAACGTTTTTCAAATATGTATTTTATTGTAGTATCAGAATTTCTGCAGTTTTATTTAATAGGACGATCTTAATAGAAAAGTTAACTGGGCTTTCAAAAAGGCTCGAGCTCTCAAAAAGGCTCGAGCTATGCGAAAGACTTCAAGCTTCATAAACGAGGCGAGCCCCGAAAAAGGCTCGAACTCTAAAAAGGACTTCCGAGTCGTCGAGCTTCATACAAACGAGGCGAGCCCTGTAAAACGACTCTGAGCTCTCGGCAAAAGGACTCGGAAGCCTCGAGCCTTGTACAGTCACGGAATGAAAAGGTTCGTCAGTTTTCAAATTGATTCCTTCAACGAATCGCGAGCACATATTACCTTTTGAAACTATGTTACAGAATAATCTCGAGTTAGAGAAAGTAATCTTTAACTGTTCGTCAGTAAAGTTCAAAATTATTCAGATCAGAGTTGTTTGACGATTTATCTTGTCAAGAAGATTAGATTTATAAACTAAAACCTTCTTGTTGGTTCAACTTGCCATTATTATTTCTATTAAATAAAAAAAACTATTGTCAATTGGTCAATGTCATCATTGCATTGCACTGATGGGATAGAAAAATAAACAAGCAAAACCTTATTCATTAGCAAACGTCATATTTATTTAAATGTTAGCAGCACTGTTTCTTGCACTCTTATGTTGGCAGGTTTGACTCTGACAGTACCTAGTGCAAGCAAAAACCGACACTAAGGTGACGAACCTTTTCATTCCGCGACTGTACATCACTATACAAAAACGAGACGTCCCGTGCCGCTCCCGTAACTGGCAATGACTCAGTTAAGCCGGTCTCGTATATCACTCGGCACTCACCTCAGTAGCTTAGTGGGCGGGTTGAGAGGTAGACTCTTGGGCCGCCTCCCGGATTCGAGGCCGCGTAACTCCACTTGCGCTTCGATAGTTTCGTTCTTGTCCTAAAATAAGGAGACATTTTTGTTTATTATGAACCTTACTTCGTCGGCATAGAGTTCAAATATGTTTTAGGCCAAAATTGGTCCAGCTGTTTTGGAAATTAGTCGGAAAAACAGAGTAACAAAAAGTGGGGAGTGTAGGACAAATTCTCTTGCCTCTGGTAAGTTAGAGAGGGTCGTGCTCTTGCAATGGAGACTAAATGAACTGATGATGTCTTCCTCAAAAGACGTGCATTTATTTATTTATTCAGAAACTCAACAGCTGTTTTACAATATTCATGTTACTGGTCGTAGTCGTATTAGCAGGCCTGTTCATCTCCGCGAGTTTACATCGAAAACAAAACACGCACGATGGCCCACCTACAGGATACTATTCGACAAGGCCTCACATACGAGCGAACATTGACTCACGCACGCGTATTCTTGTGTATGATGGAAGAAAATAAAGAAAATTGTGTTCTAAGTACTGTGCAGTATTTAACTGCCTAAATAATAATAAAAACACAGAATGTACTTTTTTAAGTTGCCTCAAGACACAGAGGTAAATAAGTAGTTAATATTATTCATGATAATTCATGCTAAATCATGTATTTCCTCCGCCATTTTCCGCAGTTTGGCACCTCACGTCACATAATTTTACCGAAGTCAGCCCTATAGCTTCGGCGCAGTGCCGATCATTGACGTTTGTCAACAAAATGGTGCTTGACTCTTGAGACAGGCTAAATTACACCATGTTGTTAATGACATTGAGCATACATTTTTTTAAATACCTTCGCGAAGTAAAACTTCTGTACCTAGTACTTATTATTATTCTGTGGTATTACAAAGTGTTGTATTATATTTGGGTTTCTGTTTGTTTGGCTTTAAGGCTTTAAGAATCTAAGGTCTATGAATGTTTTGTCTTTGGAAAAACCGCCCAAAGGCTCGGCCATTTTGTTTGGACATCTTGCAAGAATAAAACGAACTCAGTTTAGAAATTCAGTATTTTATTTAACTACTGTATACCACGGGCTGGAAGACGTAGCGGGGGCAGGCCTCCTACTAGGTGGACCGACGATCTGGTGAAGGTCGCGGGAAGAGCCTGGATGCGGGCAGCGCAGGACCGTGCATTGTGGAAAACCTTGGAGGAGGCCTTTGTCCAGCAGTGGACGTCATTTGGCTGAAACGAACCCTACACATCATAACATACAAAGGCCAAAGGCAAATTTCCAAAACCTTCATTAGGTCGTCAGTCTATCTAGTGGAATGCGTGCCTACACTACATCTTACACGGATAATATAACATTTATTACAAACAAATTCTATACAGACAGACCCGGAATCACTGAAATCCGAAGCGATCTTCAGGATGGTTCTTTAGTTTGAAGAAAAGAAACACTTATTACAAAGGGAGAAAGGTATACTTCCATTTAGCCAGAGCGTCCGTCACTGTATTCCAGGGGTCTCCAAACTTTGAAGCCTTGGGGTTATAATGTTTTTTTCGGTATGTCGCAAGGGTCATAACAATTTTAATTTTTCTGTCCACGTATGCAAACATAGGCTTAGTCTAAATTGTCGCAGGCCAGATTGATGAAAGTGGCGGGCCGGATATGGCCCGCAGGCCGTAGTTTGGAGAACCATGTGTAGTATCTTCTTTAATCTTGGAGCATAAATGATGATAGTCGTCTTTCGGTCGAAGCAATAAAGCACTTATTACAAAGGTAACAAGGTATACATTACCACTTCAATAGAGCTAGGCCCGGAGTCACTGGAGTCCGCTCCTTGGTCCTGAGCGAACAAGTCTTCGGCGTAGCAGATCAGGAATTCGGTCACCACCGCCTGTGGAGAACACATTGTTTATTACGTACTAGGATTAGCAGTGTAGATTATTCGCAGTTTCGATTGTTTCCATCTCTTTCACGCAAAGCGAAATACTAGTGTGTGCGACAGAGACAGATAGACATGAAACTACGACAGTTAGGAGCATTAAACCTCTGCTTCATTACTCCCGAACTTTTTAATTATTTTATTATAAGTTGGCCGAAGTTTTAAAAATCTACTTCGACTAAGTAGAAATTGGAGACACGCAGTTCACTTCGCTTCACCTCGTCTCGCCCGAAATCCGACTGTTTTGAAGGGCTTGAAGCGTTCATAAGTTTGAACATGAAGTGTCTGATTACACTACTAGGCTAACTTCGGTACTTCGTCGAAGCGAGTAGCGTAGGGTTACCAGAGTTGCATAGTCACGAAGGGAATCCATCTCAGCCATTAACCGTTGATAGCACCTGACTGAAGTACCAGGCTCGCATAACTGCTAAAGCGGTAGCACCTCGCTCCTATACTAAGGTCGGACTACGGTCCATTTGAAGACGCTCGCCCTAGAGTTAAAGCCTATGATGACTGAAGTACCAGGCTTACATAGCATCCAAGGCAGTAGCGTTTCTCCTGAAGTATCTTGAGCTAAATGTCCCGTTCAAACGATTCAGCTCCACATTTCTTACGCCCGTATTCACAAACGATGCTTGCCTAAGTGAAGCAGCAAATCGAACGCACAGCGTTGAATAGAGCTCTGTGCTTGGTTCGTGTGTCACCCTGTGCGTCTACGCGCACTGTGAGACCTCATATTAATGTTTGTGAAAACGGGCGTTAGTCTCAAGTACCAGGCTCGCATAGCCTCCAAGGCATTAGCGGTCTCCTAAGCTATAGTCTGGTCTGTGAGCACGTAGAATTTGTCTAATGACTCCAAGCTACCCATCCTTATCGCTCGCGCGTAATTATGTTGCTATCGCGCTCGCACACTCACTGCGGGCGCCCGTCGCACAGTCGCGACAGCAATATAATTACGCCCGCAGTGAGTGTGCAAGCAATATAATTACGCGCGAGCGATAGCTTGGGGTCATTGGACAAAATTCTACGTGCTCACAGACCGGGCTTTAGTCCTACATCTTACCTGCACAGCGACGCCTTGCAAAGGGGTTCCCTACGTTTTATCGAAAGTCGTTTCATCGAAGGTCGTTTCATCGAAGCCGTTTCATCGATTGGTCATAATCTCGAACGTACGAAATATCGAATCCCTTATCATCGAATGGTCACATTATCGAATGGTCGAATCATCGAATGTCTTAGTGTCGAAAGGTTGTTTAATAAGTATCAGATATGGTCGTCGTTCTGTCTCCTTCCTAAAGTTGCAAGTCCACATTGTATAACTGCCTAAATTGTAAGACCTAATGTGAATGCTAATGTGGTTATGCAATAAACGATTGAGTATTGAGTATGGCAACATGGAAGGTGACGTTAGGCTGACTTGCACCATCTTACTTTAACTGTGACAAACGCCAAAAATCTGTCAAACTCTATACATAAAACACCGGTTATCGTCATAGATACGGTCAAAGTTAGGTGGTGCAACTCAGCCTAAGTTAGTTTAAACCCAGCTTTTTTTTCGTAACTTAAAATATCCAACTATCAAGTTTAATGACATGCGGTTAAGTATTAAGTTAAGTATCAAGAAAATGCGTTTTCAAACCACCAAAATAGTAAAAGGGCGGTAAAGTGATTTAAATTTAGAACGTCAAAGTTGGATTTCGCCGTATGGATGTTTTTTTTAATTTAGCTTGTACTAAGGCAAAGGCGTGAGTGCATATACAGGGTGGAATTTTGTAATGCCACCTAGAGGGAAAGTACTCTTAATATTGTAGATAGAAAAAAAATCTCAAAGAAAACATTCCTTTATTTTTTAAAACAAATAGAACTGCATTCAAAGATTTCCAAAAATTTGCTTGCCACACCCGGGAATCGAACCAACTAAAATCTGTTAAAAATTACACCCTGTATTTTTATTACATCGATCGTTAGGGTTAAGTATAAGGATGAAATCTCTCTAACATACTTGATATATCAAATGAAAGGAAAACCATGAAATCTTAAATTATTGTAATAAGTTACAGAAAATTGTATGATATGGTATTGAATTTTCGAAAATTTTTCGAAAATCTTTGAATGCAGTTCCCTTTCTTTTCAAAAATAAAGGAATGTTTTCTTTCAGTAAAAATTTCTGTCTACAGTATTAAGAGTACTTTCCCTCCAGGTGGCATTTTAAAATTCCACCCTGTATACAGCCAGGTCTGGTGGCCGAACGCTATTGTGTTATTCAATAGTTATTTTCACTTTATAAACACATTTTTTTATATCGACGTCATGATTAACTCCCTTACTATTAAAAAGTTACACACTACCTAGTTAAAAGTCGTAGTATACACAGTAGTTTAAAGTGACATTTCCATATTAAACGTCACTTTAAACAAGTGTTCAGCGAGTTACTAACTTTTTTCTAGTAAGTAGTTAACTCTTTAATATACAACCTATCGACGCTAAGATATTCGATGATTCGACCATTCGATAATGTGACCATTCGATGATAAGGGATTCGATATTTCGTACGTTCGAGATTATGACCAATCGATGAAACGGCTTCGATGAAACGACCTTCGATGAAACGACTTTCGATAAAACGTAGGGAACCCTATTCACGCACGTCTACTGGAAATGATCTGTCTTCCTACTAATGATACTTTCTATCCTACTAACATTATAAATGCGAAAGTTTGGATGTCTGGATGTTTGTTATTGTTTCACGCAAAAACTACTGAACGGATTTTGACGAAACTTTACAATATTATTGTTTATAACCCAGATTAACATATAAGCTGTAATTTATGACGATCTGTGACAAACTAAATTTCACGCGGGTGAAGCTGCAGACAAATGCTAGTGTTAAATAAATGCTTACCGCCAACCGATGTTTGTAAATAGCGATCTTCTGTACTCTGTCATGGCACTTAATTCGGACCTTGCTGCCTGTAGTGAGGTGCTGTATGATGACGTCAGTCATGTTCTCCCGGTACGCGTACCGCTCCCGGTACAAGCCGTGCACCGTACTGAAAACCACTTGGTAGCACCACAGGGTTCCGTCTTGACATGCCACTGCCTGAAAATTATTTATACTTAATATCAATGAGGATAGCATACAATTTATTTTTTGAATAAAGGAGCAAAACGGCCGATGTATACTGCATTGGTAACTAAAAAGATATAAGCGTTGAAACTTTGGAAATGTCTGAGACTGCATGTTGTTCCAACGTGTCGAGTGACGTCATGAGATTTGTAATGTCTATCTTAGATCTGGTTTCCACCAAAGCGGAACGGAACAGAGCAGAGCGAAGAAGTGTCGGCCGTCTTCTGTAGAATTTTACAGCGGCGGCGGTTCGACGCGGAGCGAAGAGGAGAATCTGATTGGTCATTCAAAATACTTCTCCGCTCCGCCTCGTTCTGCTTCATTATCATCTTCAGCCACGTACGTCCACTGCTGAACATAGGCCTCTCCCAATGACTTCCACATCGCACGGTTGGTAGCGGCCTGCATCCAGCGCCTTCCTGCTACTTTTATCAGGTCGTCGGTCCACCTTGTGGGTGGACATCTCACGCTGCGTTTTCCGGTACGCGGCCTCCATTCCAGAACCTTGCTGCCCCATCGGCCGTCAGTTCTGCGTACTATGTGCCCTGCCCACTGCCACTTCAGCTTGCTAATCCCGTTCTGCTTCACCTTAGCGGAAACGGGGCCTTAGGTATTTTTAAAAACAAAGCACTTACTAACAAACTCTGTCACAAAATATCTCACTAATCCTTTGAATATCCTCACCATAGTATTCAACGAGGGCGAAGGCGCCACCGCCCACACCCACTCCTGCTGAGTGGTGATGATTGAAACGCCTTCTGACGTCAACACAGCCCAGCCTCCCACACCGCCTACTAACACCAGAGATCCTAGCGGTGTCATTGAGAGAGCAGCAATACCTGAAATGTGTGAGACGTAATGATGATTTTAACAGTCAGTAATTTTAATAATTGATGTTTTTGAACGAATTCGCTTCGTGAACGGATTCAATTTTCGATTCGATCAAGAAGCGCCACTCGTCCAGACAGCCTTACTAACTTTATAACATTGCTCGAGAGTAGTTGAACTTGAAATGTACCACACATTAATTAACCTCTACAAAGAGTAACTCCGTATTATAAAGAAACCATAATTTTGTATCAAGCTCTTGAAATATACATAGTTTGTCCCCTCTGTTGGAGATCTATATCTATAAAAGCGAAAGGTCACTGATTGACTAACTCACTCATCACAAAATCTCAGAAACTACAAGTGCTAGGAGTCTCAAATTTCATATGGGGGTTCCTTTTAGAACGTAGGTACTCACTAAGAACGGATCCACGCGTACGAAGTAGCGGGCGGCCGTTAGTTTCCCATATAAATGAGAAGTAGCAATTGATTGGAACTTAAAAGCCTCGCACACAATTAAGGTGTGTATGTCTTTTTACACAGTTATTATAATATGATAGCATAATACTGTGTCCTAAGATAAAGAAAATATAACTATTTGAAACAGGTTTCATTTATAGAGGTCAATATTTTCTTAGTAAAAAAGCTTACCTATGTTTCTTTCTTTGTAAACCACTTGACCCTGCATATCATAAAAAGATATCACATCACTCCAGTCTGCAATCATTAGCATAGATTTTGTAAAGGCAACTGCCCATACAGCAGATTCTCGTAATATTCTTTGGATTTCATCACCAACCTGAATAGAATTCAAGAATTAAAGTAAAAATCTTATGAAGTACTGTGAATTTAAGTAAACTAATAAATGTTTAAGTTTTAAAAATTTACATCTTCCATTTAAAAGAAGTTGGTGGGTTAAATTGATCCAGTAAAATACTCTTAACATCTAGTATGTGGTGAGACAGACTTTCATATTGTGGTCTGGTATCTGAGCATACAATCATGTAAATCATGATACTGATGACATGATGCAATAATAATAATTTTAGATTTATATCTACAGCGATTTCATTCACAATTTATTTTCTCATTTAAGTACCTATTTATTTCTATTCAAAGTTATTTATTTATTTCTTTATTTACCTTATCTCTTATTGATACAGCTCCTGAAGCCAATCCTATGGCCAAGTGTTGTCCATTGGGTGACCACGAACAAGAAGTTATGCGGCCAGAGAGCCTGAACTTCTGCACAGCTTTGACATCCGCAGACCAAAAGGCGAAATCAGAGATAGCACATGACGCCAAGTGCATCGTTACAGGATTGTAAGTTAGACATTGGATGGCATCGCCATGGCTGTGTTACGGGAAAGAACATTACAATGAATAATCACTCAGCAAACTTAATTATTCAAGAAAACCTAGAAAACACTGCACTGAATATGTTAAAGAAACATATTTTATTAAAAAAATTTGAACTTTCGCAGAGGCATTCAGAACATAAAAAGCATAATATAATGCCAATTCTAGTAAATTTGACAAAATGTATAACGGACATCAACGTCTTTTAAACCACATAATTTAATAAATTGCACTTACGAGTATTTCAATACTCCTTCCATTTTAGAGGTCCAGATTATAACATTCTTGTCCGCACTCCCGCTAGCAAACTTTTTCCCATCGCTACAGTATGCAACGGCATGTACTGGGCCCTTGTGAGCCTGAAGTAGCTGAACCAAGGAACCATCTCGAGGATCGTACACCATCACCTTCTCACCCGCGCCAACAACTAATTGGGTCCCATCTGGGCTAAAGCATATTGTATGCACACTGAAAAATAGAATCAATTCATAAGATAAATAATAGAGACTGTTATATTTCATTCTCATGCATTAATTATAAACTTTACCTGGAAAACTCAACCTTATCAGCTTCATGGATTTTATTCACCCACTTAGGAACTGTCCTCATTTTGTTGTTTTAGAATAGGCACTTCTTTACCAAATCAGACACAAACTATGTGGCAGACAAAAAGATAGGGCTAAAACAAATACTTCTCATGGCATATTCACCGAAAAGCACTACCATCTCAGTGATAAACTCGGTTGCTAACGGGCTTCCAAACATGTAAACAAAGCAACTTTTAATGGTTGTAACTGGTTGAATGCACAATTCATTTTACATGGTTGACAAATATATTATATCTCATCATTTTAAAGGGTTTTGATCTTTTGTTCCTTTTATTTTCAATTTGATTATTATTTTTTTAATTAAAAATGCACATTTGAACTTCCCGAAAAAGCGAAAATTAAAAGCTCAACATGACATTTGATGATGACATTCACTGTCAATGTCAAACTGCTTGTCATTTTTTTTGGATGGACAGGAAATGGCAAAGCCACTTGACTATACAGCCAAGTTTTCAGTTTTTGATTTAAAATGATACTAAATTTAATTAAAAGTTGCGCGAATAAAGTTAAGACCATCAACACAAGCAAAGTTTGTATTTGTAAAAGCTGTCTGCACCATAGACCATAGCACCATAGTCTGCACTAACGACAATTAGTGCTTTCTGTCTTGCTTGCAGACCTACAAGGTGCAAGGTGGGTAGGCTAGAGTATTCGATAATTTGAAGTTCAATATATTTTATTTGTGGTCTCATCAAAACGCATTCACCATTCGCAGTCACCATCATCATCATTTCAGCCATAGGACGTCCACAGCTGAACATAGGCCTCCCTCAATAATTTCCCTAATGACCGTTTGAAAGCGGCCTGCATCCAGCGCCTTCCTGCTACCTTTATGAGGTCGTTAGTTCACATTGTGGGTGGACATCCTAACTACCTACGGTTTCCGGTACGCTCCACTCCAGAACCTTGTTGCCCCATCGGCCGTCAGTTCTACGTACTGTGCATTTTCCACTTTAGTTTGCTAATCCGTCAGGCAGTGGCGTAGCGTGGCTTTTCGCCGCCCGGGGCCGTCCGGAAATCCGCCGCCCTTTATTTTAATTATAAATATTTTAAAGTTTAAATATTATATTGAATGGACTTCAGGTACACTATTCACCTTATTTCTTGAAATTCAAAATAAACTACCACGCACTGCTTCAGAAGGAAACTACATTAAAGAGAAGCAATTGCTTGAAACCCACAGGAAGATTGATTTTCTTAAATAGCTCAGCTTTATTATGTAACACTAGGTGTATAACAATAAACAATAATAACAAGTATTAAAGTATTTATTTGTCAATTGAGAGTAAATATTATTATCTTAAATTATAGTAGGTATACATATAGTGCTCATTGAACTTAGAAGGAATAACATACAGTGTGAGTCACGTTAAAGTGTACATATGAAAAAAGATGAAACTAGACCTATTTTTATCGACAATAATGTATTTTATACAATGTATTTTTTTAGTATTGCCTGTTACTTAGCATTATTACTGTTTTTATTTTATCAGGATATACCGCTTAGTTTAAAAGTTATTACGTTTTCTTTACAATAAGTAATAGGAAGAAAAAAAAATCTATAAAAAATTAAAAAAAATCTCAAAAATTTTTTGACCTCTTTTTTGTCGATAAAAATAGGTCTAGTTTCATCTATTATCATATGTACACTTTAACGTGACTCACACTGTATGTGCTTAATATTATTAAGGGTTGTACCCTAGCTAACCAGCGCCACCATATTTTTTCTTGATTACTTTTGTTATAGACCTTAATTAAAAAAGTGGTTTGAAAAATGTATAATATGTATCGAAGCTATTTTTTAAAATAATTTGTTTGAATTCATTAGATATTTGCAGCAAGTTACAGATTTAATTACTGCTAAAAGTTACCATTTTAGCTAATTTTGAATTTCGAACTTGCAGAATATAATAAATACACGGTTTTAAAAGTAGCTTAGATATGGCTTTAACTATTTATTTTACAAACCACTTTTTTATTTCGGTTTGTAACAAGAGAAATCACGAAAGATTATCTGTGGCGCAAGTTTTAGAGGGATAAAAGCTCCTTAAATATTTTTGTTACTATTACTTAAAAAAATAGATTAAAAATGTACTCTTCGTGCTTTTTTCAATGCAAAATATTTTACACAATCGTCGATATCAAATTGTATCTCATTTTCAATTGCCAGTAGGTATAGCTAGATTTGTTAGTCTCAACGTAGACATAGTCGATTTTTTTTTCTTGTTCATGCAATGTTTTTTTTCTTATCCGCCGCCCCCTTTCGTAAGCCGCCCGGGGCCATGGCCCCCCCTGCCCCCCTCAAGCTACGCCACTGCCGTCAGGCTATATCAGCGACTTTAGTTCGTATCTCCTCATTTCTGGTTCGACCTCCTCTCCTGTCGATAGCACGCTGTGCAACTTTGAGCCTATTTAAAAGGCCTATAGTGAGAGGCCACGTTTTCTAGCCGTAACTGGTAAGTAAGTAAGACACACGTTACTGATTGAAGACTTTCGTCTTTAGGCATAAGGATTCGGCTTAAACATCAACGGCGAGTATATCACTCACCTTCGGTTTGCCGACATTATTGTGGTCATGTCATGGCATAATCGAGTCTTAACCATGTTGCGCCCTACCCAGTTTCGGTTGGGAGCTCGATTCACAGATGAGAGAGTAAGTATGTGGCTCGATTCTCGAGATTGTCGTTTGTCCAAGGTAGGAGACATACATAACATGTATTTCGATTCAGCTAGATAGGTAGGTCCAATTTCGAGAAAGAGGTACCTAAATCATCGAATCGAACTCGGCTAGGCAGTATTCGGGATTTCGGGAAACTACATTTTACACAACACTAGCTTTTGCCCGCGGCTTAACCCGCGTGAAATTTAGTTTGTCACATTCATTACGTCATAAATTTTAACCTATAATATATGTTATTCTAGACTATAAACAATAATACTGTAAAGTTTCATCAAAATCCGTTCAGTAGTTTTTGTATGAAAGAGTAAGAAACATCCATCCAGACATCCAGACATCCAAACTTTCGCATTTATAAGTTAGGATTCTTTTCGTCCAAAATACCTCGACGCAATAAATATTTTTTTAATTAAGGCAAAGGCAGCCAGACATATCTACAGCCAGTATTTTTTTAAAGAAAATATTTGAAAAAATTTACTGGCCAGTCCAAACTATGCAAAATAAAACTAAGTGCTTGGCCAGGCTGCACACGCGGACGTGAGGCTGAAAAACCTGAGAAACACACGCGGCGGGCGCCACTACTTATTTGAGACTCGAATAGGATTTCTTAAGTTTTAGTATCTACCTACCTATGTAGGTACTCGTATGTGGCCAAGCACTAAAAGAGTAGGTAGGCGGAAGCTTCGTAATGATTTGGTTTTTCTCTTGATCTTAATTGATATAAAATTTATTAATATTAAGATCATACAGTGACAACCTATTAATTTGACAATCTTCGAGGGTCTCGTTCCTCTCACTTACTGGAAAATTGACTAAATTAATGAATAGACCACATCTTTACAAAACATACCTACTTAGAAGGCTTCGCGCCATTATCTCAAGGTGTGTCATTGTGTGTGTGATCGAAGATAAATGTAAAGAAGATGAGTTGAGCCTTTTGAGTGCGACACCAAGACCATCGTCGCCTGATAAAATGACAAGATCACATATTTCGCTAAGAAAAGGCCCACTTATGAACTGTTTAATAAGTAAGTACATAATTAATTAATAATCGCGACGACTATTTTTTTTACATTTCATTTAAAGTCTGAAAATAACAGGGTTCGAGGATATATATCAAGGGATTTATATCTTGATATATATCGGATATATATCCGATATATATCCAGCCGGTTTTGATGATATATATCAATTTTTAAAATTTGTAACTGTATTTGTACTTTTTGACATAAGATTTTTGTTTTTAGTTGATTTTGCCGTGTTTACAAGAAGATTTTATGTTTTTGCTTTATTTGTCTGATTATAAGTTTTAAAAACATTAAAAACATGTTTATGTAACACATATGCAATGGTATTCATAAATAATACAATAAAATAATAGTATAGCTTTCATACAAATTTGATATATGTATATCAAAGTTGATATATATCGGTTGATATATCATAAATATCCGATATTTTGATATTTATAATAAATATCGGATATTTTCGAACCCTGGAAAATAATAATTTAAAGCAGAGCTACTCAACAAGTTTTTCATACCTACATTGGCTTGTTGGCGACAAGCAGTCTGCGTCAATGTTACGATAAAATTAAAACAGGAACTCCTGAAAAACCATAAAAACAGGAAAATGACACGTAGAGCAATAAAAATCTTGACTCTTATGCTATTTTGACTTTGAACCTTATTTTCTAAGTGATAGGTGACAAAAAAAGGACAAATTATCGACGCAAGAACATAATTTATTGTAACGACGGGTGAGGAGCGGCTAGTAGCGCTTTGGATGTCACACATCATTAATTAGTCTCTTCAGCAACATTTTTTCTGACCCATTGACAAAGGTAATATCGTCACCGGATTCCACGATCAAAAATGTTTCCACGATCCAAAATCTTAATCTCTGTGCAATAAGGTCCTGTTTTTAGATCTTAACAGATCGACTTGGTCGTCCTCTAAACTTTGTCGTGGCAGCCATTTTCTTTGGTGATGATCCGTTCAAAGTTCGTGGGGTTCCGCTTTTTCTAATAGAGCTAAGTATGACCCAGGAAATGGAGGAAGACCATAAAAATCCTGCTCTAACTTATTCGTTGAGAATAAAAAATATAAAAAGCAGTATAACATTATCTACGAGTATTCTTATACTGAATCAACCACACGTTTACTAGAAATACAAACCAACACGATCAAACAAGATTTCCAATACCAAACTCATTAAAACTCTAAATGGGAAATTCACGCGGTGATAAAGGGCCTTTTATCTAAATTTTCCCCTGTTTAATTTTCCGGTTGGACTTTCAATTTTCTTCTTCAAACGGTTTTAGCGGCATTACAATGGCGGCGATGGCATGCCCGTCACGTCACCGGCGAACACAATTATTACATTTGGAAATCGTCCGTGCAGGCCCCGAGGGCTCAATTAAAATGTAAATTGTGGCGGCCCTGGCTAAAGCGAGATAGGGCTCGCTATCACGCTCCCAACACTTGCATGCGCGTTGCCGAATTCATAAATTTAAATTTGTCAATTAACTATTTCGGCCAAAGGATTTATTATTGCAAAGTTTTGAATAGGCAACCTTTGATTTGGGTTCATTAATTGAATAATTTTCTTTTGTTTTATGATATTATATTTTAATTTGATTTGATTTTTTCTTACACGTTACATTACAGTTAAAA